TTTAGAAATTGTTTTATGACATTTATTCAATTAATTTGATTTACTTAGTAAAACATAACAATTTTATGTTAATATATTACCAGATAATATATATTTTTAATTTGGTGAATTTACTATTTTTTCTTGCCACAAAAATAAAATAATAAATAATAATTTTATGTTAATATATTACCAGATAATATATATTTTTAATTTGGTGAATTTACTATTTTTTCTTGCCACAAAAATAAAATAATAAATAATAATTTTATGTTAATATATTACCAGATAATATATATTTTTAATTTGGTGAATTTACTATTTTTTCTTGCCACAAAAATAAAATAATAAATAATAATTTTATGTTAATATATTACCAGATAATATATAATTTAAACTTGGTGAATTTACTATTTTAAAAGCACTGCTGAGCATCCTTGGGTATAAGAAAAAAGGCATATTTTTTGCGTTTTGAATTTTTTAACTGAAAACATTCAAAACGAGAAAAAATTATTTTTAGTTTGTAGTTATAAATTTTTCCTTGTTTTCGGAAATTCATTTTTGAAAACGAGTGACCAAACACAATTTGGTCATTTTTGAAAACTAAAAATAGAAAATATCTGAAAAATGGCAAACCAAATGCCCCTTACATTTTGGAGAATTTTGTGGTTAAAAAAAAAGAGAAAAATTATGAAAAAAAAAATGTGAAAGTAATTTTCTTTGGGGAATTTTTAACTGAAAAAATTATTTTGATAAAATGAATTTCAAACAAAGCCTTAAAATTTATAAGGTTTGACTTTGCAAAAATTTTCAATTACATACATCCACACAACAAATTTTAAACTTCCAAATAGTGCTGTACAAGTTATCATTCATTCATAGTTGGCTTTCTTAAATGACACCACATTTCCTGTAGCACTCGTGATCTTGTTTCACTATCGATTTATTATCCCAATTGATACATGACCTACTATTTTGAGACATTTAAATTTCAGTAGTCATAGTTCAACATGCTAAAAAATAAATAAATAAATAAATAAAACGATCTTGTGTTCCACTAAAATTTTGGTTCAAGCAGAACAATGCAGAAACTTAGAAAGGAAGTTGATTCGCCATTTCTATGCTTTATGCGATTAAGTTTTCTTGCATGTTCTTCCATATCTTTTTCTTACTTTTTAATCATATATTATCAGAAAAATTACTTTCACACAATTACGTAGAAAAATTGTGAGGTTATCAAATGACACGTTCGAGGTTGGTAACCAAAATAAAGTACTCTAAAAAGAATAGACATGACAAGAATTTAAAAACGATTATGTTGAACTTTAGCCTATATAGAAAGCATATATTCCAAGGCAAATAGGCTTCGCTATTGTGAAAAGTAAGTGGTTACGAAAAAATTTATACTAGACTATTATTATTCTATCGGATAAAAATTCAATCTTTGTGTCAAGTTGACATGTAGAAATGATTTTGTGAAAAATGATTATTTTGAAAAATTTGTGATCAAAATGTAGGAAAAATTATTTAAAAACTATGGGAAATAGTTTTCTTGGAGAATGTGTAGTTGAAATGAGTAGGAAAAAAGTGATTAAACGAAGACTTCAAAACGATAAGGTTTAACTTTGCCAAAAATTTTCAATTTACATACATTTGTACAACAAAGTTTAGTCTTCTTAACATAGCTGTAAAAGTGGACATTTATTCATAGTTAACTTTCTTAAATGTTATCACATTTCTTGTAGCACTCTATGATCTTGTTTCACTATCATTTCACTGTCCCAAATGATACGTAATCTATAATTTTGAAGTGTTAAAATTTTATTTGACATAGTTCATCTTGTAAAAAAAAAAAAAACAATTTTTTGTTCCACTCAAATTTTATTTCATTCCTTTTCAACATCACCTTGTCCTATATCTGTCAAGTCTAATCCCATTCATTAGTAATAGATCTTCCAATCAAGCAGAATAATGCATAAACTTTGAAAGGAAGTCCAATATTGATTTGACATTTCTATACTTTGTGCGTTTAAGTTTTGGTGCATGATTATGCATGTAATTAATACCATACAAATCACTCATGGTTTGGTTGATAGGTTTTGTCATCTTTCCACCGATGATGGAAACTTGAGTCAGTGTTTGTTGTAGAATTTATAATGTAGTGTACAATGATTATTACATATGCAATGCCAAAACATAAACTCTCAAAGTGTAAAAAATCAAACAAACTAATTCGAGTCTTCTTCAACCTCACCACCAATGTATTTTGTGATGTTGAGTCTAGATTTGTGTCACATCAGATTTAATGCACCATCGTCCACATGAATGACAAT